ACAAGACACAAGAGGTACCTGTGGGGGAATGAGAGTCTTAAGTGTCCTCTTAAGTGTCCTTATGCAAGTCTGGGCTGTCAGGGACCTTGTGGGGGCGGGGGTGGGGGTTGCCCAGCTCTCACCCTCAAGGTCCACTTGTTCCTGGTCTCTCTACTCATTGGCGTTCTTTTTGTCCCATTGCTGATGTAGGTAGCACAAAAGGATGTTTATCTTTTCTGTCACAATGATCTGATCAAATGGGTACTCCCACATGGGCAGGTAGACTAAGGGACGTCGGTTCGAAGCTTTGCACACTGAGTCAGCATGAAATCGACTAAAGTTGCTTTTGTTGTAGACTGTCAGTCCTTTAAAAAAATCTGCCATCTTCTGTTTCCTCCGTCGCTGCCCCAGCCACCGCCGCCGCCACCACAACCGCCTTCTTAGCCGCCGCCCCACTGTAACTTCCAGCCACGGCACAGCCCACACCTATTTATTTATTTTTTAAAGTTTTATTTATTTAAATAATCTCTGCACCAACATGGGGCTTGAACTCACGAGCCTGAGATCAAGAGTCACAGGCTCTGCCGACTGAGCCAGCCAGGCGCCCCTAAATCATTTCAATTTACTTCTAGTGGCCTCAGCTGATGTTGCCCAGGAGAATCATTAACCATCATTAAACAAATAACCTCCGTTTCTCCTCCCTCACAAGATACCCATGTGAGAAGCAGGTTGAGCCCCAGTCAGTGTTTGGATGTGTGGCTCCTAATCAACACTACTACAGTTGACCTTTGAACAGTACAGATTTGAACTGCATCGGTCCACTTATGTGTGGATTTTTTTTTTTTTTTGATAAATACAATACAGAGCTGTAAATGTATTTTCCTTATGATTTCTTAAGGCATTTTCTTTTCTCTATCTTACTTTATTATAAGAATACAGTGTATAATACATCTAACATACAAAATAAGTGTTAATCAACTGTTTGTGTTATTGGTAAGCCTTCGAGTCAATGGTAGGCTTTTAGTAAAGTTTCTGGTGAAAAATCCAGATCCTATCTGCCAGATCACCAGGGATCCACACTGGAGGAGTCAAAAGATATACATGGATTTTCAACTATGTGGGCGTTGGCACCCCTACCCACTGTGTTGTTCAACTGTACATATTTCTTATTATAAATCACAATATTATACTATCTTTGAAGTAAATTATTTTGGGTATGACATTTAGTACTTTATGAGGGCAGACTATCCCATATATACTCTAAACATTTGCACAAAATGCATGTAACTATTTTCATGTGATAAAATTTTATTAATTTCTTGTGGTTTAATTCATGATTATTTTACACTTGGTGACATAGGCTGAGCCAGAAGTCATGCCAAATCCCCATCATTTTAAAATCAAACTGTGTCTTATGTTGATTTTTCTTTCAATATAAACATTACATGTTCACTGTAAAAAGAAAAAAAAAAAAGACACAGACAGGCTAAAAGAAGAAAATGCATACTCTTAGCCCATTCTCAGAGTTAACCACTATTCACCACCTGATGTATATTCTCCCAAATCTTTTTCTACGTATGTACATGTGCATGACTGGGTATAAAAAAAAAATACTCATACACCTGTAAAACACGACTAAGGCTTTGTCAAGTTAATAGCTACATTACTCATTTCTAATATTTCTACTTTGTAAAATATTTGCCTGTTTTTGTTTCATAATTACCTGTTCTTATTTATGGTGGCTATTCTTTCATTTAGTTCCCTGAAGTTTTATATACATTTTCATTTAAAATCTCTTCAAGATTGTCTCCAGTTCCTTAAATGTACATTTTCTTGTTTAGGGGGTCTGAAAACCACCTTTAGTGTTGTTGGTCTTTCTTATAGATTTTGTAATTCTTATTTGTGGCTCATCTTCCATGGGAGTCATCTTTCTCAGGACTTCTTTATGTGCTCTGGGTGGGAGGGCTTCCTCAAGGGAGGTTTTGGTATTTTCCTATGGGTTGAGGCATTGTCTCCAGACCAAGGCTTAGGCTAGTGGACCAGAACTATTGACTCCATTTTCACACATCACTGGGCAGATGGCTGTGTTGAGCCACACAACCTCTTAGGCTTTTAGTTCATTGGCCATTTAGCTCAAAGGCAAGCCCAGCTGCTCTTTCAGTCCTTGCTGGTTTCCTTGATGGGGGTCTGGGGAAGGCCATCCCAAAATGTGCCACTTTGGCATATTGATTATTTGAAATTAAAGTCACTTAAGAGGGGTTTCTGGGTGGCTCAGTTGGTTAAGTGTCTGACCGGCTCAGGTCATGATCTCACCACTTGTGAGTTTGAGAGCTGCATTGGACTCTGTGCTGCCAGCTCAGAGCCTGGAGCCCGCTTTGGGTTCTGTGTCTCTCTCCCTCTCTGTTCTGACCCCCCTCATACTCTGTCTCTCTCTTTATCAAAAAAATAAATAAAGATTAAAAAAATTTTTTTAATAAAATAAGATAAAGTCACATAAGAAATAGCCAGTGCCAGAAGAACACTCTGACTTGCCCCACCTTTGTCCCCAGAAAGCAGGAAATAAACCTCCCATGTGAAAGGTACCCTCCCTGTACCAGGATGTAAAAAGACATTCTATCATAGGGCCCCCAACAGGCCCACGGACTCCTTCTCTCCAGGATTCCTCCATGACTTTCCCCAGATTGCCTATGCAGCCCCTTGGCCCTTCTTGTACCAAAGTGAGGTGCCGGTGACCCTTCTTGGCATCTTATTTTTTAACCTTCTTCTCTCATTCAGCTGCAGGTGTGTGTGTGGGGCGGAGGGGGGTATACAAAGAACATTTCCATTCTGGGATCCTCTGTTTCTCTCCTCTTGACACTTTTTAAGTCTTATGTGGTTGTACTATTTTCCATATTTGGTTGCCTCTGGTTAACTTTTGATCTTTTTTTAACAATTCATTTTTTGATTACTTTAAGGAGTGTGGGCCTGAAGGAGGTTGTGTGCTCTGGCCTCACTTGTACCACATTTCCCCAGAGTTGAAGCAGGTGCAGCTCTCAAGAACTCACAAGATGCCAGGGTCTCCTGGGTTGTTGCTACTGTGAGAGGATGGTATGTGCCCCTCAGGCCACAGACCTCCTCACAGTCGGCCGGTCCATCGGTCTCTCTCTTTTTCTTTCAAGGCCTCCAACCCTCAATTTCTTCATCTGTGATATGAGTTATTGTTGCCAGTAAGCTATGTTGAAACTCTCTCTCTCTCTAAAATGAAATTAGACTTCCTTCCTACACCCAAACATAGAATTTTGGGGCCCAGGATTTCTGAGAGTTTCTGGGGCACAGCCTGGCATGCGCTCTTACTCATCTTCTACTTGTCTTACTGCCATGATTCTGCCTCTGTAGCTCACGACACTAGTGACTTGGTGACTGCCAGGCCTCAGGAAGAGGACACGGCCCTCTCTCCCCCTCAGCCCATCTGAAGCCAGGCTCCACTGACTGGGGAGGAAAGAAAGCAGGCTGAGGAGAGTAATTTCCATCTGCCTCAGAGGAGAAGTGACTGGCCTCCATCTGGCAGGGGCCACCTCAGCCCCCACCAGCAGCAGTCTCCAGACCTGCACACTCCCCAAAGACGGGAGGAAATCCTTCCCTCCCCCAGCCCAAAGCACTCTTCTTTGCCAGCTACAGGATGACTGAGAGTGAGAGCACCCCTTTCTGTTAGGGGCAGTCTCCTAACAGAGAAGGGCAAATATTGCTGCTTTTCCCACTTACCTGGGGTCGCCCAGAACATTTTAACCACTTGAATAATGCAGGAGCCATGGACGATTCAAGGCCAATTAAAGTTTCAACCTAGCTCCCCACCACCTTACCACCTCTACAAATATCACCTGTTGGGACAAGGGTAGACCGGAACGGGTAGGCTTAGGAGAAATATTTCCTATTACTGCTTTGGAGAAGCTGCTGTGGCTGTTGCCGACTTCTTTGTTCTGGGCAGAGAAGGAAGCCAAATGCCTGAGCCACAGCCTAGTGCACTGACCGGGTGAGGGACTTTAGGCCACCTCAGGGCCTTGAATCCAGAATCAAGAGCCACAGAGAATGAGGAACAGTTGTGGGATCCTCTGTGGGTGGGTTAGGATCTGAGACTTCTCTTTACAGCCAGAAAAATGGCCATTCCAGAGGGAAATTGGAAATCGTCTTTGGGCCCGAGCCTTTCTTCGTTCCTGCCTTTCTTCAGGGGTTGGAATGTTCTGCAGCACAGACCTCAGGTGGGTGAGATCAGACTCAGAGCTCACAAAAGCCAGCCAGGAAGCGGAGAGCTGGAGCTTCCGAGTCCTATTATCTAACAAGGGTTAGGTGTGGGTGGGATTCGTGCCTACCTGCAGAGAGGCCTCCAAAAATCAACCTTATCTTGACCTTTCCTGTGAGCCAGCACGCGTGCGCTCAAATTTTAACAAACATCATGACCTTTACTTAATAAAGCCCTGGGGGAAAGCCAGGGCAAATGTTCCCACTTTGAAGTGCTTCATAAACCACGTGGCGTCTTCCATGTGTGAGGATGACAGGAGTGGCCCACTGTCACCTGAGTCATTTTTTCCAGATGTGGTGAGGGGAAAACAGCCAGCTGGTGTCACGGGGAAAGTGCTGTATTCAAGTGTTGGTCAGGGTGTTGGCCAGTCACACGGTGCCTTGCCGCTCTTGCTAGTCCCACCTCCTTGCGTTGCCACTTCTCACCTGTGGTATGGCGATGGCAAGGGGACTAAGCCGTGCCTGGTATTTCTCCCCTAGAATGTGTGCACTCATAGTTGTGAGAGCTCTTGAAAAAAAAAATCACATGCCAACGACTTGACAGGCTGCGTAGGGAAATGTACACTGAACTTAGGGTTTAAAGACTCAGGTTGGATCTGAGTACTTCTTAGTTATGTAAATTTAGGCAAGTTACCTAAGGCCTCAAGGCCTCCGTTTCTTCACCTGTCAAATGGGTATAATCCCCTGGACCTGACTCCCTCAAGAGGTGGGTTAAGTGAGATGGAAACGCACAGGAAGTGCTGTTATTTGATGCCGTCACAGGTGAGGTGCTCTTATTTGGGCCACCAGGGCAGGGTCTTTCTTGGCCTCCATCCTCTCTCAAGGGAGAAGAGCATCTGCCAGTTGCCCTAGTAACCTGGACCAACGGCTGGCTTCCTGTAGGGGCTTTCCTGCTCGCGCACAGTTTCGGTTTCCCCTCTTAACCCCTGCCAGTGGCTTAGAGTGGTGGTGGAGGGGTGCAGGTTGCTCGAGCGGAGGCCCTCTGCAGACCATGCTCCCTCCACTGGCATCGCTTGTCACGACTTTGCCCTACTCTGCAAAATGGAAAAGAGAACCTGGTTACACATCTCACTGGTTTTTCTGCTTTCTTTTCATGACTCATTTTCGGG